TATACTTATTGCGATAACAAAGTTGAATGGTTTGAATATACATTAAATGGATATTAAAATAAACTTCGACAAAGAAAATTCTAAATAAATTGTCATTTTTAAGACATTTGTACTATTCTTTTAAATTGACTAAATAGGGAGATTTGTGAACGTGATTCTAGTTTCAATTTTAAACACCGAAGAAATTAATAAGATAGTACATTAATGAGGGCAAAATTTTGAAACAAACTGAAATATTTATAAATTTATTATAATTTATAAGTACTTATGTTTCTTGGATGATGGAATTTGACCTTAATTAAATAAATTACTTAGAATTGAAACAACTATAAGCATTACCTAATTCACACCCCATGCCACAAGAAAGAAGAAAAATATATGTCTCATCAAATATAATGGCCACCGCCTACAATTGGATAGCAGAAGCCAACCACTTATCGACTCATTCCTCCATGAATGTTTGGTGCCGTTGTAATTCCAGGATTCTGCCTCTCCACATTTCCTTGCCATCCTACAAATTTTCACATCACCCACAAATATCTCAGTCAGGTAAATAAAAAAGATATGTTACACCCGTTCGAAAAGATATATGTAGACCTAATCAAGTAAGAAAATGACATTTTTAATGAAACATCTTTTCGACCTTTGAGAAGACATTCTAGAAAATAATTTTCCTTTACTTTACTTTTATCTATCTATAAAACTATATATATTTTTTAAAAAAAAATTAGAAAACGCAATATTTTCCACGTGCAGGTCAAAATATTGGCATAGTCATCCAATAGTATGATGTCTGTGGCGAAATTTTAGAGAGAAAAGAAAAGTTTATTAAGTACCAATAGACATATCAAATCCGCGGTTTTTAAGCTCACGATGCTCCTGGCACAAGGCACAACATTCACAACAAAAATGAACGCAACAATCTGCACATGGAGTCTCCGGCAGCATGTATTGCCTTCTCAACTTTGAACGATAGAAGCAAGAATATAAGCACGCACATCCCGTAAGGGCTATAAGAGTGTAAAGTACTCCACCTACTCCACAGGCTGCCACAAAAAATTTCATAAACAATTAAATTCTTTGTTGGTGGTTTTGATTTTTAATTATTTTTTGAATAATGCTAGCTAGAAAATTTTATAATTTTCTATGGGCTTGTTCGGTAGTGATTATTAGAATTGATTTTTTAAGAGAAAAATGGATCTCACATGTGAAAGAAGAAGTAGAAAATGACAGTCGACTTGGGAAAGTAACGATCAAAAAATTAGTCTTTTGAAGCGAAAAATCAGAACCGAACATGCACCAAGTGGATCAATTCGATAGAACATATGCCTCACAGGAGCAACATAAGTTTTAATATAAGCAAATCGACAATTTTCCGCTTCCATTGTCCTCAAAGGCGAATTCTGAGAACTTTGCACATTATTTTTCCTTCTCAGTAAGCTATTGGTAAGCAAAAATAAGAGCATTACATCTTTGTGGTGAAGTTTATAACAAGTCCTTTACCATGCCTATGAAAGTCTTGCCAAAGAAATCAATAAAGCTTGTTGTACAAGGCCCAACAAAACCCCAGCGAAATAGGTATGCAACAAATTTTTAGGTATTTAATAAGTGGAATCGTCGGATTCAAATTTAATTATGGAACTTGGTTCGATTCGGTTTAGTTTCTGGATTTTGTACAATAATTAAAATTTTTAATTTTTACACCACTGCATTAATTCAACTAGTGACATACTCAATCCTTGCTCTTACAAAATTATGTAGTACAATCCCATGATATCTATTACGCTTCTCTTTGTTGAATTCTTCATGATTTGACTATTAAAATCATATTTCGGTAGCGAATTCACAATAATGAAGAGAGACCTTGTCGAGTTTTCATTTTGATTTCTCCAGAACAGCGAAAACGATACTGGGTAAATGAAAGAATTGAGTAAAACTTAGGTCAATTTGATTAATTTGGGTTTGGGCTGAGAATTAGAAATAGAAAAATCGCATTTTGAGATTAGGCTAAATTAATTAGTTAGCAAATTTATTTTATTTAGAAAAATATAACAGGTTCGTAAACCTAAAATATTAAGAAAGGACCTAAGTATGAAATACTCGACATGCATGTTAATACGATTTTTGAATCAAAGGATGCTATACTTTTCGAAAATATTTTTCCTTACAACATGCAAAGTCAATCGAATTCACTAAAAAGACCTTGTAAAAATGAAGAGGTTGTCGATCAAGTATCTATAAATGAATAAGAACCTAAACGTAGTAAGAGGGCTAGGACAACAATTTTCTTTGGGCATGACTTTCTAACATATTTGTTAGAAAATGAACCTCAAAGTTATAAATAAACTATGTCATCGACCAAAACTTCATATTGGAAAGAAGCTGTTAATGGTGAAATTAAATTCATACTACAAAATCATACATGAGAAGTAGTAGATCTTTCTTCCTACAATAAACCATTGGGGTGTAAATAAACTTTTAAAAAGAAAATAAAAGTGGATAGATTGATTGACAGATATAAAATTAGACTTGTCGCTAAAGGCTATAAGCAAAATGAAGGTCTTAATTATTTCTATATATATTTTCCTTTGACAAGAATTACTTTTGTACGTATACTTATTGCGATAACAAAGTTGAATGGTTTGAATATATATTAAATGGATATTAAAATAAACTTCGACAAAGAAAATTCTAAATAAATTGTCATTTTTAAGACATTTGTACTATTCTTTTAAATTGACTAAATAGGGAGATTTGTGAACGTGATTCTAGTTTCAATTTTAAACACCGAAGAAATTAATAAGATAGTACATTAATGAGGGCAAAATTTTGAAACAAACTGAAATATTTATAAATTTATTATAATTTATAAGTACTTATGGCACAAGGCACAACATTCACAACAAAAATGAACGCAACAATCTGCACATGGAGTCTCCGGCAGCATGTATTGCCTTCTCATCTTTGAACGATAGAAGCAAGAATATAAGCACGCACATCCCGTAAGGGCTATAAGAGTGTAAAGTACTCCACCTACTCCACAGGCTGCCACAAAAAATTTCATAAACAATTAAATTCTTTGTTGGTGGTTTTGATTTTTAATTATTTTTTGAATAATGCTAGCTAGAAAATTTTATAATTTTCTATGGGCTTTTTCGGTAGTGATTATTAGAATTGATTTTTTAAGAGAAAAATGGATCTCACATGTGAAAGAAGAAGTAGAAAATGGCAGTCGACTTAGGAAAGTAACGGTCAAAAAATTAATCTTTTGAAGCGAAAAATCAGAACCGAACATGCACTATATTTGAAAAGAGAAATATCAACATCATTGGCAATTGAGAACATAGATTAGGGGTCCTCGCATGAAATCATAATCATTTTGTCTCTTTACTTACAAGTAGATCCTTTGTCTACAATCTCAGCAATCTGACCGAATGTTATACACGGACACCAACATGTTATACAACCTGCAAATTCGGTAAGTATTAGACAAACAGGTCCAATATTACCTAAGAACTTTATAATTTAAGAGCATCTTTAGTAGGCTAAATTTGATAGAAGTGAAAACAATTAACAAGAATTGACATCAGTAAGAACTCACAGTTTGGAATATCGGAGCAGCAACCACAGAGACCAGTAGACCACTTCCCTGGAGTGCTAACATGAGCTTGAGGTAACGGTGGCGGTGGCGGTGGTGGTGGTGGTGATCGTGGTGGAGGTATTTGGGAATTGTCAAAATAGTTATAGTTAGGAGGTGGAACTGGTATGCCTGTTGCCGGTGGTTGGTCGAAGACCCACGGTGCACTCGGCGGTGGAGATTTTCTGGCAGCGTATGGATCTAAGGGATCCATATCGAAATGGGATTAAAACTATTGAAAAACTGAAATTAAGAGATGATTTATAGCGAGGATTATATGTAGATAGACGTCTAGAGTTTGAAATGTCAAGCAGAACTAACGAGATTTCATTACCGCGTCTGGCTGACTATTAGGCCCTGTTTGATTGGGCATCTTTTTCATGGAAAATGAAAATTTTTTTTTCCACCTTTTGGTAGTGTTTGATAGCAAATATTTTCCATAAAATTCATTTGCTTGGTTTTCTTAAAAAATAGACTTTTTTTGGTTTTCATAGGTGGGAATTGGTTTTCTAGGTAGGCTGCCAATTTTATTTTGTTTTATTATTTTGGAAACAAATTCTATTCATAATTGTAAAAAAAAATATTTTTCTTTAATTGACAATTTTCATGTAAAACAAAGTCAAACGAATACCAAAAGATAAATGATTTTCTTGTCTTTCTTTTGTGCAATAGAAACAAATTCTATTCCCAATACTAATAAATTCTATCTCTTTAATTGACAATTTTCATGTAAAAAAAAGTCAAACGAACACCAAAAATACTTTTATTTTAAGATTTTTCACGTGAAAAATTATACCAATCAAACTCAATAATTAACAATTCTCAATTAAACAATTTTTAAGCAATTCAATTCCATGTAATTTGTGTTTCTTTTCACCCAAATTCCATTTTTACAATTAAACAAACTCTTAGTTTAAACAAATGGTAGTTGAAAATAGGTTAATTTGTTTACTAATAATTTCTCTGGAACATTTGAATCCAAAGCAGATTATACCATACGCAATCGAACCTGGAATTAGGTATCAAATTTGTTATATACCCCCGTTTGCCCTCATTCTTTTCAAATTTTAATTGTTAAAATTGTTTTTTTTTTTGAAAAATATGTTGTTGAAAAAAAAAATTTTGATTTACGTATAATATTATTTTATGGAACATTGTATGATTGAAAAATAAGAGAGAAAAAGAATGAAAAAAATAATGGGGCCAAACGATGGCATAATTTGACTGGGTACAATTTTTATATTGATTGATCAATGAATTCATTTCAAGGGTCCCAGTCAACCAGTCTCCGCGCACACGTTCTTCTTTTGATGTAGTCGTTTTTGGAAAATTCAGGGAAACAAGGATAAACTGTCCTACGAAAATGATATTAACAATTTCTCAATAATAAGTTGAATTTTCTTTTTCACGCGTTTTTGGTAAATTTTATTGATATTATTATTATCAAAGAAACCTTCTACTCTTGTTATGGCAATTATTTTGCACAATATAAGCTGACAATGGTAAACGTAAAAAGAAAAGAGATGAAGAGTGGATCAATTCGATAAAACATATGCCTCACAGGTATTAATTTTTGAGAAATCAATAAAACTACCACAACAAATTAAACTATAGGTTTGCAATATAATTCATTTCACCCTTGATTACAGGAGAAACATAAGTTTTAATATAAGCAAATCAAACATTTTCCCCATCCATTGCCCTCAATGGCGAATTCTGAGAACTCTGCACTTTGTTTTTCCTTCCCCGAACCTATTATTGGTAAGCAAAAATAAGAGCATTAACTTTGTGGTGAAGTTTATAACAAGTCCTTTACCATGCGCATGAAAATCCTGCCAAAAGAAAACAACAAAGCTGGTTGTATAGGCCCAGCAAAACCCCAACGAAATAGGTATGCACCAGATTTTTAAAAAAATGTTAAACCCCAACCTTAAGGGCCTCCACCGACCCTGCCCTGGGCCATCGTGGAGGAGGTAAATCGCAGGATATGCCTCCCAGGAGTCAGGGTGGAGAGCACATGGATAGGCCAAGGCTGTTAACCCATATGGTAACTCCCGCTTGCAACAAAGTCAATTCCACCTTGCGGGGAATCGAACTCTGCACACTGCCGCGCTGAGCCATATCCGCCCTCCCCTTTGCCACTGGGAGATATGCACCAGATTTTTATGTATTTCATAAGTGGAATTGTCAGATTCAAATTTATGGAACTTGATTCGGCTCGATTCAGTTTCTGGATTTCGTACAATAATTAAAACATTTTAAATTTTACAACACTATATTAATTCAACTAATGACACACTCAATTTGAGTTCTTACAAAATAATGTAATACAATCACATGATGTTTTTTATGTCTGTCTTTGTTGAATTCTTCATAAATTTAACTGTGAAAATCATCTTTTGGAAGCGAGCTCACAATAATGAAGAGAGGCGCTGTTGAGTTTTCATTTTGATTTCTCCAGAACAACAGAAACAACACTAGGTGAATGAGAGAATTGGGAAAAAGTTAGGCCAATTTGATTAATTTGGGTTTGGGCTGAAAATTGGAAATAGAAAAATCACATTTTGAGATTGGGTTAAATTAATTAGTTTGCAATTTTATTATATTTAGAAAAAATATAATAATTTGGCTTATTTAATTAATTTATTTATTTAAAAAAAGGAAGATTCGATTTTTTGATTCTTAATCTAGAACCAGGAATCGAACCAAACTTATCGGTTTTCATTTTAAATACCCATTTGAGTATATAACTTATGAAGAACCACTTAGTTCGATTCGATTTGAGTCTGATTCGAGAGTTTTGTCCAATCCTTTCATGCAGCATTTCAACAAAGATCGAGGCTAAGGAGTTAGGTGAGTTAATGCCCATTTCACTGGTGGTATGAATGATTAAATAGATGATTTTTTTTACTTGGGCTCGCCCCATTCTTTAATTGCCTTCTGGATATCATCTTTGCCTAGTTTTGGCACTTCCACAGATCCAATGTCATCGTTTGACAAAATTTTAACAAAATGGCTTTTTCATTGGAATTTTTTACATCATAACATCAATCTAAATATAGTAAGTGTAATTAAAATCTAAATACAATCATATACAAAATTATATTAAATGAAAAATATTTGATAAGTCGTAATCTTCGTCAATCTTCATAATTTTTGTCGACTTCATTGACATCCCCCTTCAAATCGATGTTTAATGATTAGGAAACATCAATTTATTGATAGAAAAATTTTATATAGAACAAATTAAGTATCACTTATCTCAAAACTAAGAAATACAGTTTAAAACTCCAAAAATCATATATTAATTAAATTTTATATATTAAGTAATTAATTATATATATATTTTATAATGTCATTCTATTAAGGTCACAATTCTATATAATTTGATCGCAAATATCAAAATTAATTGATCACAAATTATTTTTCATTCACAAATCAACAAATTTATATGTCAAATTATTTCATGATCACAAAACAAAATTTCATAGGTTGCAATTTGTTCATTGGTTACAAATCATAAAATTTATATGTCAGAATTTATTTAACGATCTCAAATTACAAATTTTATAAGTCACAATTTATTACACGATCACAAATCATTAAATTATTCGTCACACCTTAACAATTTTGTAGGTCACACCTTATTTATTGCTAGCCAACACCACAAAAGCCACCATCAACAACTACAAATACAACCTACAAAACTCACCTAAAAACTCCGGCACCAGCGTGTATGGAAAATATTTCCCCAGATCCTATTATTCAGCGACAACATCATCGCCAACAAAGATCACCACGTCACACCACCAACAAAAAACCACACATTGACCTTCGCCTCACACCACTAACAAAGATCACCATCGTCTGGTAATTGCAATGCAAACCGTGCTACTTCAATAACGAACGGTCTAAAGTTACGATTTCTACTTCTAGAGATTACTATTTGATCCCACCAAATGATAGCATAATTAGCGAACTCAACGATAGCAAGTTTTTTCCTTTTTCTCCTTCGAGTAGTTATAGCAAGCTAATATAAGTTCTATCTGAAAGCCCAAGAACAACTGACCAAAGGGGGGGGGGTGAATTGGCTATTTGAAACATTTTCGAAAATAAGTGCAAAATTAAGCAATTAAAATAAAGAATAAGCAAGATAACACAAAAGTAATAAGAGGAAGGGAAAAGAGAGTGCAAACGATATAATAAAAAGATTCGATCCAACCAACAATCTATATCCCCCGTTATCAAGCTCTCCGTCACGAGCAAAGCCTTTTCCACTATATTTGATTGACTTATGATGCAATCAAATCTTCTTACAAAGCCTCTGATGACTTAAAAATAAGGAGCACCGATCCTTTACAACGTTAAACTTTCCAGGACCTCAATTGACCCACGATTCAAAATTTAAAGGAAAATTGAAATTACAATCAAAGACTTCTCTCTTAATTAATGATATGGACTTAATTAAGAATCAAGAGAGAGAAGTATATACAACATTTCAATAATTCACAAAAAGTATAGCTCAAGTATTGTTAAGGAGAAAACCTTTTTGGGATATATGAATTTCACAAAAATTTGATCACTCAAATTTTTTTTCAAAAGTTAAATGATTTGATCTTAAAAGAATTGAAAACAAGGTAGAAAAGATCAATAAATTATGCACTTTAAAGCTCTAGAATTCTTGTCATGATTGTGGTAGAAAGTGGGGGTATTTATAGCCATCAAACGGTCAGAAAATCTATTAATCCGGACACGGGATCCGGACGTCAGCTTAGGATCCGGACGATTAACTAGCTGTTTGGAAAACGATCACTGAAATGATGTTGGAGGACTTGTCTAGACATCCGGATAGTTCCATCCGGACGTCCGGATGGACAGAAAATTGCCCTTTTGAATTTTCTCCTTCGTGATGAATTTTCATACAAGTAATTGAAGGATTTTCACATTTATTGTATAGATAAGTATTTTGTAATTGTGTAATCTTGAAAATCGAGATACTTATCTCTTTTAGAAAATTTTTTATACAAGTATTGTTTGTCATGAAGGAGTCTCGTGCATAAAAATTTTGAGCTATAGTCAATGCGAAAAATTGAAGAGTTATACCTTTACATTTGAGTGCAAAAATGCATCTATATCTAATGTCTTCAATTTTTTTCTTTCCAAATGATTTTTTACTCAAAAGCTTGATTTTAATCTCTTCGTTCCAAACTTTGCTTGTGCATTGATAGTTTGGCGCCAAGGTAGTTCGTCTATATGCATGAATCTTGACTTCGATTCTTGTGTTTTCATTCTTCGTTAATTCCACAATAATCACTAACAACACTTTAATTCAATTTGTTAGAATTAAATGCAATTTGTTT